TTAGTATTTTGACGACACTGCCAGAGAACCCGTGTGGATCTTGACCTGGTATGTCAACGTCTATACCTGAATACAGTATCATGTCCATGACAATACCAGTTTTGCAGTCACAAAGCACGAAAAACTTGAGTCCAAACCGGTACCGCTTTGATGGGATGTACTGCTTGAATGCCAGTTGCCCTTTGAAGAGGACTTCAAGGGAAGTTCAAGGGTTTTGCTGGGGCAGCAAAACCCCGCCTAGTAACACCATCGCTGCTTGTACTCGGTTCATCAACACTGCTTGTATCAGAGCCTATGTCACTGAAGCCCGAGAATGATTCATCACATGTACTATCGCTAAATAAACTCTCATCAGAGGACATACATGGTGGTGATGACTCAAGCGGTGTTGACCCAGGATGGCGAGGCAGGCCGGGTGAGGCACGTGTACTGTACACACCCGCGACCTCCTCCATCTCATTCTCCCCCTCACTCGTGTCAGACCTCTGTGTTAGGTCTTTCTCTGGATCATAGTCTAAATCATCATGCATCGCACCATCATCATACAATATGTTGCGTATTTCCTTCTCAGAGAGTCGTTTTCCTTGACTGTGGCTGACCGTGCGGCGGGAGCTCATAGACGATGTGTCAGACATGGTTGCTTCCTTGAAACTGAGGCTCCCCACAGTCTTGGGGTATGCTGGAATTTTGTTTCAAAATTGCAGACGATCACTGGGGCCCCTCAGACATCCATTTCGTACCCACGTCACCACACGCCAGTTTTGAATTGTACGCTATAACTATAAGATCCTTGAGGCCCATTGCGCACCACCCGTCGAGCGCCTAAAGGCTCATTGTGCAGTGTAGAGATTAAGCAGCTTTGTTTAGTTAGCTTAAATCTATGACCTCTTGTTTTTGAAGTACCAGGTCTCAGGAATTTATCCCTATCAATTATATAGATTCCTGTTACTATTTTGTATATAGTAATCATATCACTTTTTTTTTTCTCCTTCTAGTTTGGCATATTTAATGCCTGTAACGTTTCCTTGTAGCTCTTATTCAATTCCAGGAGCCATTTAGTTTGTATCTTTTCAGTTTGTTGTGCCATAGGAGCTGAGATATGTCCTCTTCAAATAATGCATGACCTTGAAAAATTTACCGTTTTTTGCAAAATTTAAGGTTGTGTATCTCTAGAACCATTTTAACTACAATGTGAGACAAAAATCATTCAATTTCTCTTATCAAGAGAGATTTATTATTTGGTACAAGTATACCAAATTACAAAAATCAAAGAGGGTGTCAGAAAATTTGCCCAAAATCTGGGCGAAGTGACAAGGAATGATCCAATTATTGTCATTAAAAATACAAATAAAACCATTGAGATAATAGCATAATGTTGAAGCAAATTGTTGTTGAATTATATAATAATGTGATTAAAGCCAAACATAATATTAATTACAGTCTTGTAATTTCAGGAGCACAAGAATATGGTGAAGCAGCTGCTTATATCCAAGCCCAGTTTGAAGCCAAGAATAAATCGACATCAAAAGAGATCTACTGCCACATGACTTGTGCCACAGACACAAATAACATTCAGTTTGTATTTGATGCCGTAACGGATGTGATTATAGCAAACAACCTACGTGGGTGTGGCCTCTATTAAGCTGTGCCTCTCCACCTAGATGTGTTCAATGTAGGGAAATTTTGGTACAGTCGTGGTCTAGCCCCCTGCTCCAGGAAATGTTCTTGCCATGTTTAGCAAGGTAATGACATTGTCCGGGAGAATTTGCTAGTTGTACCATGCCCACTAATCTCCTCTGTTACTCATAATGGGTTGTATGCAGAGTGAGGTGCTAGCCTCATAGGTTGGGCCTGTTAAAGGTGTCGTTTTATCTTATACAAAGAAATTAGTGATGCGATTTTTAAAGTGATTAAAAATACATTATATCCAAATAATTCAGGATATGATTGTTATGGTTTTTATAACCAGTTACAGCAAAATTTAGAAAACTAAGACAGAATATTATTTGAAACTTTGGGAATCCTCTCCTGTCTTGTATATTAGCAACCATGTAATTTGTATTGCCAAATGAAGCCTTACAATTCTAGCTGTTTAATGCAAGTTGATTTATTGAACTTGAAGACGTTACATAAATGCAGAAAGCACAGGCACAAGTATGTGAAGTGGCTAGGTTCAATATTTTTCCTCCTCTTATAAGCTAATGGCTTACCAAGGAATATTCATAGAATCTTCAGCCTTGTGTATCACTGATAATCAGCGAGCCTTTTATTAGGAAAATTGCTTGGTATTTATCCACTACAGGTTTTTGTTTGAAGAAGCCCTGTGGATATAAGGAAGTTATAAGGAAGATCAGTTAATAGCCCAATATAATACTGTATGAAATATGGTTATAAGACTGATTTTGGTGGCTCAGAGCAGTCAGTGTCATTCTTTCTAGTCATATCTGTATTCTTAGTCATTTTTCACAAAAGTCAGTAATGTAACACAACAGGAGGTTGCATTTTGTAAGGCCCTGTTATACTGAATTACACAAATTAAAAAAATATATATATACTGTATATGATCTATATTATGCACATCAATGATTGCCTCTTATTTTATACGTGATTTCTGATATTAATAACAAATGATAGGTGGCTGGAAAATGAAGTGCTTAGACGTTCATTAGTGGGCCTTATGCATTTAACATTTCCATTAGTTGCACCCAAGAACAAAGCATTATCAGTTGCAAAATCATGCCATAGAAGAAAGCCATATCCATGAGTGATAACATTTTTCATTATTAGTGTCATTCATGAGTTTCAGTATCAACATTCTCCACAACATATTAGTTTGTTTTAATGTTGATAACACTTGATTGATTAAACAAAATTTCCCTAAATAATATTGGTTATGTATCTTCAGGGAGATACACAATATTGCAGTGATTGTTCATGTTATAACTAAGAATTATATTTCTTGTAGTAATCAGGAGCCAAGCTAAGATGTTCATATCACCTTCAAGAGCACATTTCAATGCCAGACTTTTACATATGAATCTACAAAGTTATAGAGCTCTTTAATATCTGTATATGATAACCAACTACTTAGTTTGGCTTTGTCTAAATGTTTAAGTTTAATTAATTCTTAGTGGATACAAAATTTGTAAAAGCATCTAGTAAAAAAAAAATGAGGTGGCAGTTCTATAATAGGGTCAACACACCAATGGGTGAAAGTTGTGTTATCATCATTACACATTTACAATAGTACTAATGATTATTTTTTAAGGATATATTACCTGATGAACATCTGAGGTCTTTTAAGGATAGATATAATAATATTTTATTAAAGATGAAGTGGCATTAAAGAGCCTTTACCGTGGCCGACGCTTGTATGCATTCCTCAGACTATTTATCTCCTGTACTGTGAAGGTAAGTAATCTTCCTCTTATACACACAAAATATTTTGAAAAAAAATATATCGCTTGACAAAAATCTTTGTGTAAATGAGAAAAATCTTGCAAAACCATTTAGAATTGGGACCACTGTTTTGCATATTTGAATACAGTACTTAGGCCACCTCCCAATTTCAGCAAGAATATTATTGGTTAAATGTAATGTTATGCCTACGTAGTAGTGAACATAACTCAATGGTGGTGTGAGATACTGATGTAATTGGTTAGTAATTAGAGAGCATTAAATATACACACACATTACTTATATATATATATATATATATATATATATATATATATATATATATATATATATATATATATATATATATATATATATATACACAGTATATATATATACAGTATATATATATATATATATATATATATAAATATATAATAAATATTATTATTACATACATATATATACATATAATATTATACACATACATACAGTACTGTACTGTACTTCAACTCTTAAGGAGACATTTCAGAGACAATATAGTTCTGTAAAAGTGATTTGACCTTGTCTTGTGAAAAGGAAAAAGTATTTTTAGAACTATACCAAACTCTGGTTGTCATTTAAGCCTTAAAGCTAAAATCCACCAAAAACTTGAGAGACTTGCACAGTATCTAAGAGGCTTGACAAGAGAAGGCACAGCTGAGGCCGAACTTCCTGGTGATGTTGTAGAAGAGGTTATTCACTTGCGTGCTGAGCTTGCCCCACTGCCAAAACTACATGTTCAGCTGCACCAGGGGGCTTTGCCTCATCCTATATTGCAACTCTCATTCCTTCTTCAAAATCTTTTAAGAAAAATTAGTGATGTTCTTTTAACCCACCTATTTATTTTTATCTTTATTTTATTATAACCTTTTTCCTCGTTCATAATTCAGTTACATGTTTTGTAAATTTTAATAAGTAGATACAGTGCATGACAATTTATTAGAGTTGGTTTGCATTATTTTCTGAAGGATTAATTAACCCAAATCCATGTAATGCCATTTGCTATTTTGAGCCATAGATATTGTTAATACTTTATGAAAGGAATTGAGATATATATTACAAGTGTTCAAGGCTCTATTTGGCAAATGCATTACTTTCCCCTTAATCACATGATAACAATCAGTCTAATAATAATGTTCATTGTTGTGAAAGTCCTTCAATTTTATGGTAACTTATTGATAGACTTGATAACTTCCCCCATAAGTATTTATAAATTTCTTGATATAAAAAAATTGTATGTGTGGTGTTAGGCTTGTTGGTGAGAGTGGAGAAAGTTAGCAACTCTTGTCGCTCCCGTAATTATTAGGTCAGGTATATTCCTAGAAATTGATGATGTGTGTGAGATTGTTGTGATTGAAAGAGAGAGAAGGTGTAATAGATTAGGTATATTAGTGTATAGTATTTATGTCCTTAATCTTTGTTCTTACTGTTTAAGATTGTGGTACCAGTATTTGATAGAAATATATTTTGCACAAAGAGACAAAGATTGAAAAATCCCTCATGAACTATAGATTGCAATGCAGAGAAGGTTCCACAGGTGTCTAGAGTAGAGTGCATACCCCTGTGTAATATTGTCTGAATATTATTGATATTGTATATGGTATTAAAAGACCCATCCTCTCATGTATGGTGTAAGATTAACTGCTCACTTTTGTACAGTGTATTTGCTTCTCTAGTTAGTAATTTAATATTAATTATATTAATGCCATTTACATTTTAAGAAAAGGAGTAGATATTCATAATTGTCTACTCTAAGAGGTGTCTGTTGGCAAGTAACTGTGGATGTGTTGCTATCCCGGGGCAAGTGCCACGCAAGGAAAACTATTTTTATTTATGACTGAACATTGCTGAATAAATGTACATTTTATTTGGATGTCTTGAATTTTATTTCTAACCTTCATTTTTAAAATACTCCTGGTAAGGTGAGTTTTTTAAATTAAATTTAATACTTCAAATTAAGGTGTTACCATAATAGAAGTGTTATGTAATTCATGATAAATTGTTTTGGTATTAACTGTGGCAAGCAGCAACTTAATTGATGGGCATTTTTTAATTGATGTGCATTTTTTAATTGACAGACTGTTTGATGTTGGAGGACAGCGCTCGGAACGTAAAAAATGGATTCATTGTTTTGAGGATGTTACAGCCATCATCTTCTGTGTAGCCATGTCAGAATATGACCAAGTTTTACATGAGGATGAAACTACTGTAAGTTAATTAAAAATTTTATCCAGGGTCTTAAGACAGTAATCAGAGTAAACAATTTTAGTCCAGCCATATGCTTCTGCATTTAAATGTTTCAGGGAGGGGGGGGGGGGAGGGGAGGGGGGTGACATGCTTAAGCAATGAGCAATGTTAAACTACTATATGCATCTGCAGTACAACCTCAAAAATCCAAATTACACATGAATTTCACTTAACCTTTCCATAGTGCCAGTCAAACAGGAATAATTATGCCTTATCTGACCACACTGCATGAGTCAGAGGGATGATTTAGAGTACTGTACTGCACATGATTTAAATGCCCTGTGCAAACACGGGGCTCACATTAGGCCTCTAGTAAACAGATGCCATCTTGGGGAAAAAAAATTGTAGGCACCCCTCCTGGGTGCCCACAAAGAGGCCGAGTGAGGGCCTCATTATTGAGTTGGTGACCATGGGTAGTGCATACTGTACTGCTGCAGCTCACAGCACCATTGTGCAGCTTGTGCTCAGAGCATCACTTAATAATGACAAAATTAGCTGCAATTATTTACCTGATTTACCTTCACCTGAGGGCCACTAACACTATTGGCTTCGACAAGGACAGGAAGCTGGTGGTTTGTCCGAAGGTCCCTCCTCCCATTTGCCTTGATGAACTTTTCCAGGTGGAAAAGCATTTGTGGCTTCAGTGGGTAGGAGGTTCCATACGTTTATAACTCTGTGGGTGAAAAAGCATCTCCTGTTAGTTGATGAACATCACCGCAAGATGGTTTTAGTAGGATATTGTTCATGTGTGTTCTGATGCAAAATAAAATGTTTACAATAATGATATCTTTACAGAATCGAATGCAGGAGTCCTTGAAACTTTTTGATTCTATCTGCAACAACAAATGGTTTGGGGACACCTCTATCATCCTTTTTCTCAACAAGAAAGATTTATTTGAAGAAAAGATCAAGAGGTCACCGTTAACTATTTGCTTCCCTGAATATACTGGTAAGAAGTACTGAATCAAGGGGAAAAGTAATTACACTTAGATTTATTTGCCAGTAGGAATACTGTAGTATCATGGGGAAAGCACATAAAACAGGTACCTTCTTTCATTTGTGTCTAATCTTTCTCTTTCAAATTGCATTGGTGGTTGTCATCTCCACAATGATTACATTATTATTCCCCCAGTGGTGGTCTTTCTTCCCCTACATAATAACTTGTGTAACCCATCTTAAGTTACATGTACCTCTGTCTTTGTTTCTCCAGCTCTTTCCTTGTTTTCCAATTTCTAGTTTTCCACTCCTATATACAATGTACTTATTGCAGTAATTTTAACATTTGGACAGCAGCTATAGAAAAATGGTAATTTCTGCAATATATATCAATTTACTGGGTGGATGCACTCTGAAAGGTTACATGTGGGGTTTGTCAAGACAAGATGCCCGACTTTACCGACATTGAGGTATGCGAGACACAACTCCCGTGTTCTCCTCGTATGTTTTGCCGATTGTTTATCCCTTGTTTCTCTATTTACAAGAGTGCATGTTGAATAACTTGATAAATTACATAATTCACATAACACATGATAATGTCTCAATCAACATTGGTGTACCTGGTATACTTCATTACTACATAATGTAGTAGTGAAAAGCATACAGTATAAATAGCGCACAATGGTGTTGGGCTCTGGGCGATGACATGTGGCCTAATTGGCACTATATGGCAGAGAATAAAGACTGATACAAAGGCGTAAACCACCAATGTGCCACTCAAAAATGATGGCAGGCTCTTAGCACATGTAATGCATGATAGTGGTTCATCTGATGATTGGTTTATCTGGTATACCTCATTACAACAATTATGGAATTGTAAAAATAACATGAACATCAGTGTGTATATTGTAATTATGATGAAATTTTATGCAATGACAATGGCTGCATTCACCTAGTAACATTTATGATGATGACCACAATCACCTAGTAACATTTATGATAACCACAATCACCTAGTAACATCCATAAAGATGACCACAATCATCTAGTAACATGATATGACCACAATCACCTAGTAACATGATGATGACCACATTTACCTAGTAACATTCATGATAACCACAATCACCCAGTAACATTCATGATGACCATAATCACCTGGTAACATTAATGATGATGACCACAATTAACTAATAACATTCGTGACAATAACCGTATCACACAGTAACGTCAGTTGTTGGTCTAAGGAAGCCTCAAAAAGTGGGATAGGTTTTCTTTCCTTGACAATTGGAAATGCAATGAATGAAATGTAAATTAATAAGCTTATAAAGTCCTATTGTATTAATATACAATTTGTGTATGTTCATAGTCATAAGGAAAAAATGATTAGAGTTTACAAAAGTTTCAAAGTAAGGCCAATATTAAGTAATTTACTCATGAGATTTTTTTTTCAGGGTCTATGGAATACACTGAAGCATCAGCATACATCCAAGCCCAATTTGAAGCAAAAAACAAATCGACAAACAAAGAAATTTATTGCCACATGACATGTGCTACTGATACCACTAACATCCAGTTTGTGTTTGATGCAGTGACAGATGTAATAATTGCTAACAATCTCCGTGGTTGTGGTTTGTACTGATGTGTTCATTGTGAGAATCATCCAGGATCTCTGAATTTGTGGCTATTTGTTGATTGTATTGGCTTCATAACTCCAGTTTAGGGTATTGTTTGGGGGAATAATATTTTGTAATTATTTTGAGCAAGATCAATGTTACTCTAGCACAGGTCGTGGTGAGCTAAGCTGAGTATGTAGGATCCATGTTTTTAAGAAATTAGGTTATTGAGCAAAAAGATACAAGGTGGACAAGTTTTTGCACATTTCTAATATTTTGATAAGGCCTATGTTCTATGTTTTAAATAGGAAAATAGGCTCTATTGAAACGCTGCAATGATTACTTGTAAACAGATCTTGTGACAGCTTTTATGCTGATAAAAGTAACAAATAAATTCATCGAATTTAACATTTGTTGAACTTCGGGTACGTTCTTACCCATCACATTTCCCACTTTGAAATGCTGTAATTTTTAATTTAAATGTTTAACAAAACTGATAATGTCAGCAGAAATTTAAATATTAAACAAATATAAATTTACATATTGTATTAGACATTAGACATATTTTTTAAATGATTGTTCATGAGAACCATGATAACATGGAAATTCTTTTAGTGTAAAATATACGTATACAAAAATAGAGTACTATATAGGTCTCATAATTGGCATTTGTACTCTAGATTTATTACATATAATGTAGTCCAATTGGTTAAGAATTCCATTTACAGTACATTTCTTGACTTTCTCTGTATAAAGTAGCATATCAAGTACTGTACAGTACATTTTACGAAGACCTTATGGTGAGATATCAATTTTTTTGACGACTTTTATGATGCAATTTTTCTGTGTAATGACAAATACTAACTCGAGCTCAAAGGGAGAAGCTAAAGATTTGCTGTTAGTCTTATCTGGATCTTGCAATTATCTATTGTTTTATCTGGATGTAACAATTATCTATTGTCTTATCTGGATCTTGCAATTATCTATTGTCTTATCTGGATCTAACAATTATCTATTGTCCTACCTGGATCTTACAATTATATATTGTTATATATATGTTTGGCTTATAAAATCATGAGCCTTATAAGTATATAATAAGTTTTAGCAAGTGCTAGTCATTGTTTTTAAATATTGAGACATAGTGTGACTAAAGAGAAATATCAAATTAAAAAACATTTATTGCCCAGTTTTAACCATAATAGTTACTGTACAGAAAAATGTACAATGTTTCAGTTGATATAGGCACCACATAATTAAATATTTTATGTTTTTTAATCTTTTCTTGGAAGATATGATTATAGATAATTGTAATTTTCGGGACAGACATACAAAGTGTGATAACAAATATTCAATATAATATAAGTATATACAGTAATAACAAAAATAAAGAAGCAAATACTCATATGTATTTAGAGTCAAACGACACGTTCTCTGTGTGCTCTTTATTCCATTCTCTGAGGTTATGAGTCCCCACATTTGCACAAGAAGTGGTACCCATATATGTATATGAAAATAATAACCAACTATTTTGAAAACACAAGGAAACGTCGGCTGAATATTTCGGCCCCAAACTGGGACCACTCATCAGCCGAAGAGGATCCCAGTTGGGGACTAAAATATTCAGTCAACGTTTCATTGTGTTTTTAAAATGGTGGGTTATTATGTTCATTGATTAGTGTGCTATTGCACTTCATTCTCATGCGTGTGTGTGCATATTTTCTTTCTTTATTTATTTATTTATATTTCATTGAAAAGAACAACAATTTTAGATTTATGATTCTGGCACGAATCTTTTTGATATTCCTTATTTTTTCCTTCACTGAAGCAGGAAGATTAAAAATTAACTCTCCAAAGTTCATTTTTACTTATTATTTGGGTCTGACGCCTAGTGATACGTTTCGTAAGGTATCACCTCACATTCTCAGACAAATTCTTCTGTGTTAGCACCTGATTATATCCTCTTATGGTGAGGTGGTAAGTGACATGTATGAATGATATATATGGGGGTATTAATGGGGTCTTATATAATGGGTACTAAATTAAGAGTGTGACATGTTGGCAGTTTGTTATTCTGGTTGCTTCCGTTCCTGTGGCAGGATCATTCGGTCCAACTTCTGCATTGGCCCGGGGTCATGAAGTGAGTAGAGTGTAACTGTATATTAGCTGGTTATTGATTGCTGGTTTAGATTTCTTGATATGCAGTGCTTCACTGATATCTAATCTTCTATTGTCACTGTATCTATCAATTATATTGGTGTTGTTCGTCAAAACATCCCTGGTGATCGTCTCGTAGTGTGAGGCGATTATATGTTCCTTGATGGAGCCCTGTTAATATAATCGCCACACACACACTGAAACGATTACCAGGGATATTTTAACGAGCAACACCAAAATAATTTATAGATACAATGACAATAGAAGATTAGCCATCAGTGAAGTGCTGCATATCAATAAATTTAAACTAGCAATCAATAACCAGCTAATATACAGTTACACTCTGCCCACTTCAAGATCCCGGGCCAATGCAGAAGCTGGACCGAATGACCCTGCAACAGGAATGGAAGCAACCAGAATAACAAACTGCCAAGATGTCATGCTTTTAATTTACTACCCCATTAATACCCCATTATATAAGACCCCATTAATACACCATGTATGTCATTCATCCATGTCACCTACCACCTCACCATTAGAGGACATAATCAGGTGCTAACACAGAAGAATTTGTCTGAGAATGTGAGGTGAGACCTTATGAAACACATTACTAGGAAGGACCCAAATAATAAGTAAAAATGAACTTTGGAGAGTTAATTTTTAATCTTCCTGCTGCAGTGAAGAAAAACATAAGGAATATCGAAAAGACTCATACCAGAATCATAAATCTAAAACTTTGTTGTTTTCAACAAATTATGTTTAGAAGAAAGACTTCTACTAAAATATAATTATTATATATATATATATATATATATATATATATATATATATATATATATATATATATATATATATATATATATATATATACACACACACACACACACATACACACAGTATCTATAACACACATGCACACATATCATAGAACAAGATCATAGATTTAAACTAACGAAACAAAGCTGCCGGAGAAATATAAAAAAATTCACTTTTGTAAACAGAGTGGTAGATGGTTGGAACAAGTTAGGGCAGTAGGTGGTGGAGGCCAAAACAGTCGGTAATTTCAAAGCTTTATATGACAGAGTGCTGGAAAGACAGGACACCATGAGTGTAGCTCTCATCCTGTAATTACACTTAGGTAATATATACACACACATTCTGTCATATAACGATACAGTGTGTGCATCATTATATGACAGTATTGAGAAGATAGGACACCACAAGCATACCTCTCATCCTGTAACTACACTTGGGTAATTACAGACACAGTGCATCCTCACTGTGACAAACCCTGCTCTAACAAATTCCTGGATAGTCTGAACAAATTTTATTCGGTACAAATTCAGTGGAACATATAAATGTTCGATATAGTGAGGATTGTTCGTCCAAGCCATCGCCAAGGCCAAGTATTGGAAGGTGGCTATTATCATCCATGATTCACCAATATGTAAACAACTGTACAGTGTTTTAATTTACTCACCCATTGTATCTAGGGAGAAGGGGGTTGAAGGATGACAAAATGGTGTCAGAGGAGGCAGGTGGTGTTGGTGGTGAGGGTTGGTGTCATGGAGGCAGGTGCTGGAGGTGGTGAATCTGCACTCTAATTTGCATTTTTTTTATTAGAACATGTCACACAGGAGCACAGGGTTGGCCTGGCCTCAACCATCAGCTGACTAGTGTCACATGGCTGACACAGCAGCTGATGCCTCACTCCCTTTATCCTTCACTCTCATCAGTTGAGAAAATTTGACCATTTTACTTCTTTCCAACTTATTGCTCTATCATATTCTACTGACAAAATGAAGAATTCATAATAAATGGTATCAGTGGTGAGGGTTGGTGTCAGGAGAGGCAGGGGGTGGGAATGGTGTTATCAGTAGATAGTGGTGAAGATGTGTGGTCTGGAATGAGTATGTGTTCAGCACAAGACTGAGGTAGCCTTGACCCAGTCAACATTTGTATCTGTTAATACTTCATATATATACCTGCTCTTTGGCTGAAGAGCAGGGGTGCCATAGGCACAATCTGAGAACACTGTATGAACATCAGAGGTCCACGGTTCAACATACTCCCAGCGAGTATAAGGAATATTGCAAAAACAAACATGGACACCTTCAAGAGAAAACTAGATAGTTTTCTTCAAGAAGTGCTGGATCAACCAGGCTGTGGTGGATATGTGGGCCTGTGGGCCACCCCCAAGTTTCCAGCTTATTGGATCAAGCTCTCACAAGTCAAGCCTGACCCTGGGCTGTGCTTGGGGAGTAGAACAATTCCCAGATCCCCATCCAGGTACATGTATGCATTACTCTACGCATTCCTTATTCATATTAATACACTGTTTTCGATTCCATTTTTGCAGACCATGAGTCACAATAACGTGGCTGAAAATATGATGACCAAACTACACATCAGAAAATGAAGAAACAACGTTTCGATCCATCCTGGACTATTATTAGGTCATGTTACACGACTCTTATAATGTTCCAGGACGAACCAAAACATCATTATTTCTTTATTTTCTGATGAGTGGTTTGGTCATAGTTAATTTTTATTATTATTTGATGTATGTATCCGAGTATGTAATTGTTTATATTTGTGGGATTTACTGAACTTAATCCCCCCCCCCCCTCCTCCTGAGTTAATTCTTGAAGCAGTATGTAAATTACACCATATCTGATAAAAACTTATGAATGAAAATATATTAATTTAAAACAACTGCAGAATTTACTCTTATCATTAAAAACAAGCTACAATTATTACTCTAGAAATCTTCTGTAAAGTTAACACAGCTGATCTTGCTAGTGTAGACCCTTTCATGCAGTTTAGTTGTTGGGAAAAAGTGACCAGTTGCATTATCAAGTCGCTATCCTTGGATATCTGCCGAGGAGTTCCACATTTAATTTTATGATGAAAAAAATTAATTATTACAGTGAAAACACTAGTTCGTTTCAGTGCATGATGTCCAATCCACAAACTGATAAATATAGCCTAGATTAATAATCAGGAATATTTATGGTAATGAATATCATTTATTGAGAACAAATTCTAAATAATTGCAATTGAATATACTATTTCAACAGTTGATTGATGATTAAGCCACCCAAGAGGTGGCATGGGCATGAATAGCCTGTAAATCAACAATTAAATAATGTAAAAGGTCAATAACTTACTTGCTTTTAGATAAAGACCAATGTAACCGTGAACCTAAGGAAAAACACTTAATGACATAGGTAAATGAAATTACATCAATTTCTACAATACCAAACTGTCAAAACTTTACTTGGTAATAGGTTTTGGGGTGCTCAGGTTGACATTTCTAGCCGACCCTATACCCATTAGTCAAGAGTGAGCACAGTATTTCAAGGTTGCCGAGCTGGATACATGTGGCGTCTGGCTCAACTGGTGCAATTTAGAGCACTTTTTATGTTTACAGTGCATTATGGCACATCTTAATGGGTTTGTTTACTCTTTTGAACAACACTGATTAATTTTGATTAATTTATCATCTATGTTCAAAATGATAAATACAAAATAAATCTATTTAGTGTGATTTTTTTTGTTTAATGGAGACTTGAAGAAAGATCGATTTGTACTTATCTAAAGTCTAAATGTGCTTTTGGGTAATTTACGGAGATATTTCACTGCACAGCTCTCCTGGTAAGGTAAGTAACAAATCTTTATATGCATTATGGTGGATGTAGGCCCTCTGTTTTTATTTTTATTTTTCCTAGGAGAAGGGGGATTAACCTAGAACTGACAGGTAGAATGAAATCCCTTGTGAAGCAAACTGATATCACCCCATATAGTTCGTTCAAGCAAGAACACTATTATAATATATATATATATATATATATATATATATATTTAAATACATACATATATACACACACACATACACACACACATACACTAGACTAGTCCCAGAACTAAGAAGCATGAGTTACGAGGAAAGGCTGCGAGAAATGCACCTTATGACACTGGAAGACAGAAGAGTAAGGGGAGATTAATTTTTTAATTAATTAATTAATTAATTAATTTACATTTTAATTTTTTTAATTAAGATTAATTTACAACCTACAAAATTCTCGGGAATCGACCGAGTAAACAAGGATAAACTATTCAACACTGGTGGTACGCAAACAAGGGGGACACAGGTGGAAACTGAGTACCCACATGAGCCACAGAGACATTAGAAGGAACTTTTTCAGTGTCAGAGTAGTTAACGGATGGAATGCATTAGGCAGTGATGTGGTGGAGGCTGACTCCATACACAGTTTCAAATGTAGATGTGATAGAGCCCAGTAGGCTCAGGAATCTGTACACCAGTTGTTTGACAGTTGAGAGGCGGGACCAAAGAGTCAAAGCTCAACCCCCGCAAGCACAAATAGGTGAGTACGCGCGCACACACACACACACACACACATATATACACTGTATATTAATATAAATAAAATTATTTATTATTGTTTTATACAAGGCATCACAACTCCTGATTTTTGTGCAGGAAATCTGTCTTTACACATTTTTTGAGATTTTACATTTATATATCGTGGTAATAGAGCATACCAAAGTGAAAATTGTTTCATATATGAAATAGTGAAAGGTATTATACTGCCAGTATCTATCACTACTAATGCAAGAAAGAAGTTGCATTATGTGTGCACCAGTGGGAATCCACCTCAACAATTGGCCAACCTCTTCATTGGGGTTGATAATGTTATTAATTCTTGTCACCTCCTAAACTGGGACCAGTAACTGTGTATTATAGATATGGAAGTCCATATTTTCATCTTTTAGGTAATGTTAATACTGCGAAGATGATTACAGCAAACAAGATTCAGTATATCTAAAAGAAAAATCAGCCTATTTAAAATATCTTACAACAACAAACGTCCATTTGTGTAATGCTTTTAGAAGCTATTAGGGCGATTTGAAAGCAATAAGCCTGTGAAAAATTATAGCAAATTTCTTGAAGGTACTTGTATATTAATTGTAAGCAGTGGTTACTCAATCAAAACAAAGATTTGTGAAGTTGGTTGTGATTAATTACCTGCCTTTGAAGTTTTCTTGCTTCATCTTGAGCTATTTGCTACAATTTTTAATGTGGCTTAGTGGTTTGTTGTCTTTTTTTCAACGTTGAAAATGAAGCCAGAAGAAAGATTTACAGTACATATTAAGGTGAAAAGTTGTAGCAATAGTTTATACCAGCTTAAAGTTTATTGGGCTGGTTTAAGGTTTTTGCTCACATTGTTATTTGATGTCCATACTATGAAATCTGGACACAAAGTTATTTAAGTTTTTGTAAGCTGAAAATGTCAAGAATTTATTAAAATAAAAGGCTGTTAATCATATGTAACTAGTAAGGAAGTATGTAATACAAAATAAATGTACTGTACCATCCAAGGTACAAAGATTTGATACCAATTGAATTTTTGTACAATTTTGCTGCCCCTGGTTACATTCCAGTTTTTTGTGAAAACTGAATTGGTATTTATATTTGTTTCATCTGAAATTAGTGTTTGGATGAAAACATTACACATTAAACAATTATATATAGAGTAACATAAATAAAATTCTTTAATATTATTAGGGAATTTTTCTGATAAAATCTAGCCCATTATCAAGTCTGACTATTATTCATTAACTTGGCAATGATTGTCAGGTTAGATTTTCATCATTCTTGTGTAAACAAATGCATTGATAATTGATAACAATGGCTTGTATAGTTACATTTAGATGTAATTTTCATTGTCTGAACTCATTGTCTATATACATAGCTTGTAAGGGTCTTTAATAATCCCAGGAAGTATAACCGGAGAGTGAATGAAAGGTAAATAAGGTTGAAAAATCCCTTAATCATTTACATAGTTATGGTAGAGATGGTTCCATCATTTTTGTGTAGCATTAAGCCTAAATGCCCTTATGTATTTAATGTTAAATGACCCATCCTCTCATCATAATGTAAGTTAACTGCTCAGTTTTGTACAGTGTTCTGCTCGGGTAGGTTGTCTCGCACTCATGTTAATTACGATCCAACACCACCTTTTTGTTTGAAGAATTGAGGTAGAATATCTTAAAGGTACCAATAGCCTCCTTAGGATATAATGTAGAAACTCCTGTGGTGAATATTGTACCTTACAGAATTATGTGTAGGCAAGACTCAGTTTGTATCAGACTGGACATGAGTGAATTGAATGTCATAAATTTCATAAGACTTTTATTTACCCAGTTTAATTTAACTTTTCTACTCTAGCTTAGTGCAGTGGTCAGTGCAATCAGGTCATGGCTGAATCCTGTGGCAGGACAGAAATGTTCGGCCAACGTTTCCTTTCACCAGATGTACCTGTTCACCTAGCAGTAAATAGGAGCAGATAGGCAGCTGTTCTGTGTTGTATCCTGGGGAAGGTCATCAGTAGGTGACCCGAGAGTTCTCTAAGCCCAACAGGATTTCTCTCCCCAGATGAAGGAAACCACAACCATATTGTGATAGTAAATGAAATTTTGTAATCCTGACAAGCAAGTAGTCAGGTGGATCTTTTAAAGAAAATTGCATTTTTATAAGTAGATTGGTGAATATACTGTATAAAATAATTTTGTATGCATGTAAGATAACATGGACATTCAAGTTGTATTCTCCACATGTGCATATAAAACCCCAAACATAACCATGTGCACATGAGCACGTGTACATAAACACATGCTTGTCTAGCTGTGCCTAAGGGAAGCAATGAAATATAGCTCCAGAGCTCCCCATAACTATGTATGGTAAATTTGTATGTTTTGATGTTCCAGTATTGTTTTGAAGCTGGGAATGGTGGTTGCTTCCACCAGGTCTGTCTAATTACCCAAAGATACCCAAAGCCACTCAAAGCCACCCAAAGCTTCCTGGCATTACGTTAGTAATGAATAAATATGATATATTTACTCATTATAATGTTGGTGCTGAATGTAAGAAC